AGAATAGATATACAGTTACTTTCTCTTAGTTCAATGAGAAGAAAAATTTGTACTAATAGTGTTTAGACAAGATATGTCTGCATCTTGTACTCTGAATAACTATTATGAAGACAGCAATATGTAATGTATTAATTATTTTAACTGTCCTATTAACCTGTTTTGAAATTATCTCATTGCTATTTCTTTCTCATTAATATAAATTAGTTTATGGATGAGTTTAGAAAAGTTTAAAGATGCAGGCTAGAGAAAACTTAGAATGTTATGAGCTAAGCTTGATAAGTGATTCTGGCCTGAGTTTAGAAAACCAAAATGCTGACAGGAATGCAAGCATTAAAGACCAGGTGCAGAAAATTTCAATTAAAAATTAAGAATTCCATCAATATTAGCCTATATACTATATACACTATACTCTGCAGAAAGTTTTATATATTTTCCTTATTTCCTGAGAATTTTGTGGGAGACAGAGATTAAAGCTAATGATCTAATTAATCTGGTAGAAGAAACTTCAAGACAGCCTAATATTTAGTTTGCAGTATGGTATTTCTGACTGATTTTAGCCAGATTTATAGTGAGAATTAAGGGCAAAAGGCAGAGCATAAACTTTTGTAAAACTTAAGATTTTTGCTCAGAAAGAACAATGTGTAAAGTTGAGGCCAAAAGATGTCCAAAATACAAACAAAATAAACCTCTCCTTTTTCATATTGTGAGTGTAAACCTTTCATTTGGGAAGAGAGCTGCTAGGCTTTATACCCAAGAAGATATTCCTAGGGAAGTTGTCCCCTGCGATTCATTTCACTATGTTTAGCTCTCCAATCACTCAAGAAATCACTGCAGCTATCCCACTGACAGTGTACCATGAAATTATCCCTGGGATGCTGGCTTTAACATCACAGTGAATGTAAGCATTACAAGGTCAAGAAGGCTCCATTCACATTTCAAAGCAATCTTGGAAGACTAGGCAAGGCAGTGTGTATACCTATAGGAATGAAGTCAAAGGTTCAGTGAAAACCACTGGAGGTTGGAGATGTTAGGCATATGAAATAGCAGCTGAAGAAAGTTGCAAACTATGAACGGATTCATCCCAAGAGAGACTATGTGGACTGAAATCAGAAAGGCCATAGGAACAAGGTCACCTGAGCCCTTGAAAACTCCTAGTTTATCACATGCACTAGAGGCCACATATGGAACTACAGGACTTAATTTTTCTGGCATGGTTTAGGTCTTGCTTTGGTTCAATTCTTTCCCTTCCCCAACTCTTCCTTTTCTAAATAGAAAATTTGGGCTGGCCAGACAGCTCAGAAGGCTGCAGACACTGGGTTCGATCCCCAGCATGTGCCCCAGGGCTCGCTGAGATGGTGAATGAGACTGGGTATGGTGACACGTACCTGTAATCCCAGTGCTTGGGAGCCTAAAAACAGGAGGATCACTATGAGTCTGACCTGTGTAGTGAAACCCTGCTGACCCTGTACTAAAATACATTTTAAAAAGTATATATAAATAAATGAATAAATAATAACTAGAATAGTTTTCCATTTGTTATTGTACCCTGTTCTTGTTTTAATGTGCTCTAGTTTTCTTTACTCAGTAGCCAATCATCTGAACTTATAAGAAAATAAGCTCCGTGTAAGCAGTGTTATTTTCACTCATTTTGTTCATTGGAGTGCCCAAATGCAAGACATACTCTTGTGTTAAACTTATTAAATGACTTAGTGAATGAAAATGGATAGCTACTGTAAATCCCCAAGTATAGATGACATTATATTTAGTTTCCAGTTTCTGAAAAAGAAAAATTTTCCCTCAAAGTACACATTGTGTCTTGTCTACAATTCTAGTACAGTAGTCCAAAAAAATACTAAAAAATTTTTGCAAGTGGAAACTTAATTACATTTTACTTTAGAAATCATGCTTCCTTACAATGGTTTCTCTGTCCCAAATAGAGTTAGGGTAACAATTGAATGGAATTCATGGGTAGAAGAAAAACATAATTTTGAAGTAGACTACATTGGAACCAAATTGCCGCCACATAAGTACTTCACAGTACAAAAAAAAAAAAAAAAAATCTGCTAGATTACCTGAGCTACAGAGGCCTGGGGATTGCCCAGTAAGTTTTTGAATGAACGCCATGCAATCCATCTGAGCTGATGAAAAAAGGAGGTGGCATAGGTGATTCTCCTGGAATTTTGATCTCCAAAATTCCTCTTCTTCAGACTACCTGAGAATGTCTCTAATTCAGTTTTTATTTTTCTGTAGCAGGTGGAGTCAGCATAATACTCAGCTAATTTTTCTATGACTGGTTTGTCACTGTTAGAAGGTTCTTCAATCCCATTTGCTTTAGAATAAAAACAGATGAAGAAAGGAAACATTCTTAACAGGTAACAACTGATTTAATTCATTTTACCTCTTTGTGGGATAATACCTACATTCTAAAGTTTACATATGAAAAAATTACTAGTTTTTCATTGCTTTATATGTTAGAAAATATAGCTAAACTGACTTCTGCTACAATTTTATGGATATAGAGAACTCATTTTTTCCTATCTGGATCCAATTTTTAAAATAGACTTCTTAGCATATGGTTAAAATTCTTTACATAAAACATGATTCTTACATATAAATGGAAAAGTGCCAAGACTCCTATCTTTTTAAAGTGCTATAAAATTATAAATTATTCACGTTTAGTGGAAATTCCCCTTTCAACTGATAATATACAAGCAACTGTTCATTTGTAAATTTTTTAAAAGCATGGATACTACTTATGGAAACAAGATATGAATGTTGACTGTTAATAGAGTATAGGATTAACATTCAAGAAGCCAAGTTTTAAGTGGCTAACAAATTACTAAACCTCACCCAACTTAATTAGGCAAAACATTATGATTCCAAGAGATTTACATACCTTCACAGTCTTCTTCATCGCTACTTAACACAACAGCAGAGGAGACTCCATTAATGATATCCAAGAAAAATTCTGCAGGGTTGCGGTAAGGCTCATTATGGTAGCCTGTGAGAGAAGACAACTCAAGAACCTGATGGTCTTAGAAAATAAAGAGCACTTGCTTATAGGAGATAGCTGTAGTGAGCCATGGGAAGAGATCCAACAACTTCATTCTCATCTTCTTGTCTCTGCTGTCCTCACTAATTTGCTTTTTTCTTTTATATATTCACTCACAATATTTCAATTTTTTGTGCCTAAGAAAAGCATATATAACCGTCCTCTACATGATGATAAAACTTTACTAAGAACTTGCTCAGCTTTGAGCCACCTAAGAAGCACATACCCAGTGTCTTATTGGGTCTTGGGATCTAGCCCTAGTATTTATATCTTGTCACTTGCCTTTTTCTCTTTATCATTGTTATCCTTTGCTTTCTGGCATCCATGAACTAAATATCTTTATCATTCCTTAGCCTTCTGCCATGATGTTCCTGCCTTGGAGGACCAAGGACTGAATGACCATGTACTGAATCTTCTGAAACCTTGAGATACATGAACCTCTCCTTTAAATTGTGGGTACTGGGGTGCGAGTGGAGATGCAGGTGCATGGACTAAGACTCTGTAGACCCATGACTAGAATCTGAGACAGCGAATAATAGCTTTTGAAGTCTGCAGTAAAAAATGGCCTCCGATAAAACTACATTGCAAAAATTGAGAAAGAAACAAAACGGAAAAAGTAAAAAAGTTGAAGAAGCAGAACCTGAACAGTTTGTAGTAGAAAAAGTACTGGACCAACATGTAATGAATAGGAAGGTGGAGTATTTTCTGAAGTGAAAGATATTTACAGATGCTGACAATACATGGGAACATGAAGAAAATTTAGATTGTCCAGAGTTACTTGAAGCATTTCTTAATTTGCAAAAAGCTGATAAAAAAATAGTACAAAAACAAAATCTCTGACAGTGAATCTAATGACAGCAAGTCAAAGAAAAAAAAAAAAGATACTGCTGACAAACCTAAAAGTTTTGTTAGATGTCTTGATCACGAGCAAATAATTGGTGCCACAGATAGTAGTGGAGAATTGATGTTTTACATGAAATGGAACAATTCAGATGAAGGTGACTTGGTGCTGGAAAAAGAGGCAAATATGAAATGTCCTCAAGTCATAATGGCTTTTTATGAAAAGAGACTAACTTAGCATTCTTGTCTAGAAGATAAAGCTCAACAAATTACATCGTGTGTGTGTGTGTGTGTGTGTGTGTGTGTCTTGGTTTTGATTTACTAGTGTGGGAAAAAACATTCTAATAAAAATTAAGTTTAATATGTCAGTTTTGAAAGTAATATTTGGGAGAGTGGTTGGGTTTTGTTTGTTTTGCATCCATAGCACTGGTTACTCTGAATGAATAAGTAAAGGTTTTGTAGTTGCTTCCTTTATCAGAAAAGAGCATTTGGTAGCCTAGTACATTTTTGCTGCTTTTCTAAATGTTGGGAGGAATTGTCCATAGTCCAAATCAGAACTCAAGTTTTAGCTCATATGCTTAAGGACCATTCTGAGTTTATTTGTTTGTGTGTGTATAAATAAAATTCTTATGTAAGTGTTTTTTGTTGGTTTGCTTTTAAATGTTCACCAAAACAAAAACTGTGGGTGATAATCTCATGTTTGAGATGCCATCATTCTTAGCATCCTAAGAAATCACGTCCAGTTAAATAGAAAGTGTTCTTGAAGCCATAACTTTTTAAGTCAAATAGATGGTTTTGTAGTTAATTGGACAGTTTAAAGTAGATATTTTCAAAGCAGCCATTTCAGAATCTATATCTGTCTTGAGTCACAAAAATGCAATTTACTTCCAAAATCCTCCCTCACCCCCAAAAATGTCTTATCTAGCTGAGCATGGTGGCACATGTCTACAACACAACACTTGGGAGGCTAAAGCAGAAGAATCTTGGACACTCAAAGCCAGCCTGGTCTACAAAGTAAGCACAAGGCTAGGCTGAACTACATAGCGAGACCCTGTCTCAAAAAGAGAAAAAATTCTTATCTCTACCAACAGCTTCCCCACCTGAACTTATTCGGCAACAAGTCAAAACTTGGTTTGTTTGAATTCACTAAGGAAGACTTAACAAGGGAACATTAAAAATTCCTCAAGACTAATTACTTCACAGCAAACTGAAATCTGCATTCAAAAGTCAGGATTCATGTATGTGTGAAGACTTGGCTCACACTTGTCAGGTCCAAACCCAGGCACAAAGCATGAGTGAGAATGACATTGGTGCCCTTGGGACTCCTACCACCACACCGTACCCCCGCCACACACACCCTCCAAGTGAGTGAGAACTTCTACCTTGTTCTTGGGACCCCCAGATCCAGTCCTAGTCGAGGCCCGGTGAGGGTGTGAGAGAGCTTCCCATCTCCCCTACTCCCCCTTGTCCCCTTCAGATTCAACACAGTCCTGGCATACTAGGCTGGGGTGAAACTGCAGCTGCAGTCCCTGCAGAGAGAGTAGGGGACAAAATCACCCAGCTAGTCCAGGAGCAGAACATCTTGCCAGAGGGGCACAGCAGTTTACTCGCAAGGGCTGCAGCAAGAAGGAGCTGAGCACAGCAGCCAAACCCAAGCCAGGCACAGCCGGAAACATTCAAACTTTGTAGAGTTGCACATGAATTTCAGTAGGTGCTAAGGTTATAACTGCACCAAAGCTCTACAACATGGGTCAGAAGACAGCGCTGTACAAAATGACGAGAAGGAGCAAAATGCAATTTCAGACCCCAAGCCCACCCATAACAAGTGCAGAGGACACTAACACAGAACAATTCAGGAATCACATAGCAGAAATCAATGAATCAACAGCTTCTGAACTAAAGAAACAATTGCAGAAAGGTATAGAGGAACTCAGATCAGAAATAAAAAAAGAAATCTCTGAATTAATAGCATGTAAAGTAAAGAATCAAATGCAGAAACATACGGAGGAAGGTGAATCTGAAAAAAATCTCTGTAGGAAAAGAATTAATAACTGCTTCTAAAGAAGACATTGATAAAAAAAGAGAGATTACAGAAATGACGGAATTATTGAATGAGCGATACAGGAAAGAAATAGCTTGCATGAAGCAGAGTCAAAAAGATATAGGGGAACTTAAAATCTCAATCACAAACTCGAAAACCCATTTAAATGAAAGTGAAGACAAAGTTTCAGATCTTGAAGTCACTGGTGCAGCTAGAGAAAAGGTAAGAAAATATCTCTTAAAAACAACTAGGATGCAGGAAAAAATAATTCATCACCTGCAAGAAGATGCAAAGATGAACAATGTGAGACTAGTAGGCATCAATGAGAAAGAAGGAATCAATACAAATGACATTAAAAAAATATGGGCAGAAGTAATAGCAGAAAACTTCCCAAATATGAGGAAAAAATCTGACATTCAGGTACCTGAAGAATGCAGAATGCTAAGGAACCTCAACCCAATTAAAAACAAACCGAGATATATAATAGTCAAGATCCCAGAAATCCAGCACAAGAAAAATATACTGAAAGCTAGTAGAGAAAGGAAGCAGATTACATTCAAAGGAAACCCCATCAGAAGTACGTGTGGCTTCTCTTGACAAACCACGAAGGCAAGAAGAGCACGGAGCAGAGCACTTCAAGTCCTCTATGAAAACAAATTCCAGCCCAGAGTACTATATTCTGAAAAATTCTCTTTCATGGTTGAGGGAGAAGTGAAATGCTTTCATGACAAAGAACAAGTAAAGAATTTCATGATGACAAAGCCAACTCTACACAGGTTCCTAAAAGATGTTCTAGACAGGGACAAAAATGATCAGAACTCCATGAATGAGAACAGAAGAAACTAACTAAATAGAGCTAACAATTAAACACAGGAGAAAAAAGAGCAAACAACAATAGGTAAACAACGTATCAATCATAAGTCAATACATTTCAATTATAACCATCAATGTAAATGGACTCATTTCACCAGTTAAGAGAAATAGACTGCAACAGTGGATTAGGAAACAAAATCCAACAATATGCTGTATACAAGAAACACATTTAACTCATTAAGACATTCATAGGCTGAAAGTCAAAGAAAGAAACACAATACTGCATGCCGAGCACGTCAGAAGAAAGCAGAAGTAGCAATCGTATTTTCAGACAGTCTCAACTTCAAACCAAGAATGATCAAGCAAAATAAAGAAGGCCACCATATACGGGTTAGGGGAAAAATTCAAGAGGAAAAGGTAACACTCATAAATATGTATGCACCAAACATGGGAGAACCCAACTGTATAAAACAAATCTTAATGGACATGAAAAATTTAATATCAAAAGCCACAATCTTAAGAGGAGAACTTAACACCCCCTTATCCCAAAAATATAAGTGAACTAGACAAAAAATTAGAAAAGAAGCAATAAAACTGAACAAGAGCTTGAAACAAATGGACTTGGTGGACATATACAGAATGTTCCACCCAAACACAGCTGAATACACATTTTTCTCAGCTGTGCATGGATCATTTTTGAAAATAGACCACATACTGGTCCATAGGTCATGCTTAAGTGCATGCAAGAAAACAGAAATTATCTCATGCATATTATCAGACCACAGTGCAATGAAAATGGAAATAAATGCCAAAAGAAACCAGAAAAAAAATCCTAAAAGCATGGAAATTAAACAACACCTACTCAGAAACCAATGGATCACAGATGAAATTAAACAAGAAATTCAATATCTACAATTCAATGAAAATTCAACCACAACTTATCGGAATTTATGGGATATGATGAATGCAATTTTTGGAGGGAAATTCATAGCTGTGAACTCACACATTAGGAAAACAGAACAGGAACAAATAAACACCCTAATGCTGCACCTCCAACAACTGGAAAAGGAAGAGCAAACCAAACCCACAGCCCAAAGACGGGAAGAAATCATAAAGATTAGAGCAGAAATTACTTCAACTGAGATGAAGAAAACAGTTCAAAGAATTAACAAAACATAAAGATGGTTCTTCGAAAGATTAAATAAAATTGATAAGCCCCTAGCTAACCTCATCAAAAAGAGAAAAGAAAAAATTC